CGCAGCAAACCCTCGGAAAAAAAATCCCGAAGCCCATACGGCACAGTAAATCTTTGGGAAAAAAAAAACAGAAAGCCCAAACCACACAGCAAACCCTTGGAAAAAGGATCCAAACTTATACCACACAGTAAATCCTTGGGAAAAATAAAACTAAAAACTAAAATCACGCAACAAATCCTTGGGAAAAAAGGAATCCCAAACCCGTACCGCGCAGCAATTCCTCGGGAAAAAAAAGAAACCTAAAACCCAAAGCACGCAGCAAACCCTTGGAAAAAGGATCCAAACCCATACCGCGCAGCAAATCCTTGGGAGAAAAACCCCAAGGCACTCAACAAATCTTTGGGAAAAAAATAAAACTCAAAGCATGCAGCAAATCTTTGGAAAAAAGCCCAAAGCCCGCACCGCGCAGCAAATCCTTAGGAAAAAAAGAAAAAAAGCCCAAAGCATGCAGCAAACCTTGGGGATAAAAAGCCCAAACCCATGCCGCGCAGCTAATTCTGGGGGAAAAAACGCCCTAAAAACCGAAGGATGGAGAAAAATTGAGGGGAAAATGAAATGAAATCTAAAGTAGATAGGAAATGTTTAGGAATAATAATAATAAATAATAATAGTAATAATAATAATAATAATAAAAACATGCAGAAAACCTTTGGGATAAAAACCCATAGCGCGCGGCAAATTTTGGGGGGAAAAAACCTAAAACCCAAAGCAGGCAGCAAATCTTTGGGGGAAAAACACCGAATCCCACAAAGCGAGGGGTCGCGGGGCCGGCTGTAGGGTGGGCGAAGGAAGGAAGGGGAAAGGATTTTTTGGGGGGGGGGGGGGTCCGCGGCTCCTTACCGGGGTGGGAGTGGATGCTGATGCCCGAAGCGAGGAACTTGCCGGGTTGGAGGGCTGCGGGGAGCCCCCCGGCCATGGGGCCGGCGGTGGGGGGCAGGCGGCCGGCGGCGGCCAGGCGGTGGCTCTCCATGGCCAGCCCGGAGAGCAGCGGGGGGGGGCCGTGCACCGAGCGGGGGGGCCCGAAATCTCGGCCATCCATCATCCAGCAGTCGCCCGGCTCGCCAGCTCCTTTCCCCCCCCCACCCACCCACCCCCCCTTTTTTTATTATTATTATTTTTTCTTCTTCTTCTTCTTTTCTTCTTCTTCCTCTCCCCGCGCCCCAAGTTAAAAAATGGTGATAAGAATCAAAATCAGCGGGTTTTCAGAAAAAAAAGCGTCCGGGAGTCCCATGGTGGTGGTGTTTGGGGGGGGTGGGGGGGGCGCGGAGCCAGCCCCGCTGCGGTGGTGCCTGCGGAGAGATGGAGAAAAAGAAAAAAAAAAAAATTGGGGAGGGGGGACACGGATTGAAAAGGGGGGGGGGGTCCCCACTGAGCACACCCCCTAGGGATGGAGGGGGGGGGGGGGCACCTCCGGACCCACCCGCGGCTTCCCCCGCCAAGGGGAGAATTTAAAAAACCGGACTCGAAGTCGGGGAATTTTAGGCAGGGGGAGGATAAGGGAGGGGAAAAATTAATTAGGGGCTCGGAGGGGGGGGGGGGGGGGAATGTTAATTAGTGGTTCTGGGGGCGATGAGGATCCCCCCCAAAAAAAAAACATTCCCCAATCCCCAAAAGCGCCCCAAAAGCCGGCTCCAGCACCGCGGCTCCCCGCAGGCAGCGGGCGGCCAAAAGAGGCGAAAAAATTCAAAAATGCGAAAAATGCCCGAAAAAAGACCTAAAAAAGCCGGGTTTCTTCCAGCTCCGCTCCCGCCGAGGGAGCCCCGGCCGAGGAAGGCGAGCGAGGGGCGGCCGGGGAAGGGCTGCTCGGTGCCGTGCCCTTTTTAGCTTTTTTCGCCTCTTTTTTCCCCATTTCCGAGGTGTCCAAGTACCTGGGGGGCTGCGCTCCCGCTCTGCCCAGCGCCGCTCCCGCTGGGGAAAAAACGAGACGCGTGGTTATTTTCCAACGGGGCGGAAAAAAAAAAAAAAAAGGAAAAAAAAAAAGAAAAAAGGGGGAAAAAAATAAGAAAAAAAAGGTTAAAAAAAAAAAAACCCCGGCGGCCGCAGCTCCGCGGAGCGGGCACCGGGAGCGGCTCCGGAGCGGGAAGAGACGGAAGGAGGGGAATGATTAATTTTAAAAAATTCCTCCAAAAAAAAATAAAAAATAATGAAAAAAAAAAAAATAAAAGCAGGGGGCGAAGTTTGGAAATAAATAAAGAGGAAGCCCCGCGCCGCGCTCCGGCCGGGCTGGGCGCTTCCCCGGCTCCCAGCTTTCGGCTGAGGAATTGGGGGGGAAAAAAACTGAAAAGCGGGGGCGGTGAAAATAAATAAAATTTAAAATCAAGGAGGAAAGGGGATAAAGGGGAGGGGGAAGGGGGGGGGGGACGGTGCTTTTTGGGGCCGGGGGAGCTGCCGGCTCCTACCTGGCGCGGTCAGGCCGCCTGGTCCCGGGGCATGGCGGCGGCGGTGCGGGGCTGGAGGCCCGGTGCGGGGCTGGGGGGGGGGTCCGGAGGAGAGGGGGGGGTGTGGGGGCAGCAGCCGGTTCGCCCCCCGCCGGCCCAGCCCCGCTGCCGGCACCAGCAGCAGCAGCTCGGCGGCTCCGCTCAGGGGCAGCGCAGCGGCGAAGCGGCCGCTCCATAGAGCGCCGGGGCCCCGCCGAGCTTCATCGGTCTCACTCCCCCCCCTCCTCCGCCCTCCAAGCCCGGAGCTTAAAAAAAAAAAAAAAAAAAAAAAAAAAAAATGGGAAAGATAAAAAAAAAAAAAACCAGGCGGGGGAGGGGAAGGGGGAGGGCAGGGGGGAAAAAGCGCGCCGGCGCGCCGGCCAAGCGCGCGCATTGTTCTCCCGCGCCACGCCCCCTTCGCGCGCGGGGGGCGGGGCTTCGCGCCCCGTTCCGCGCCGCCCATTGGCTCCCCGCCCCGCCACTCAGCGCCGGGGTAAACAGGCGGCGGGGGCGCGCCGCCACGCGGGCCCGCGCGGCGGTTTCAAGGCTCCCCCCCCTCCCCTTCCCCCCTCCTCCTCCCCGCCCGCTGCGAATCACGCGCGGCGGTTTCCAGGCCCCCCCCCCTCCTCCCTCCACTCCCGCCCCGCCCCTCCGGGTGCTGCTGGGGGGGGGGGGACACACACAAGGGGGTGCCCCCCCCCAGGGTCTCGCCGTTGTTTTTGAGCTTTTTCCCCGCTCTTTGCCCCTCCCGGAGGGGGGGGGGGGAGGGAAATGCCGCCGGGCCCTCTCCCACGGCCCCGCCGCGGACAAAGCCGCCTTTGAATTAGGCAAAGGGGGGGGGGCAAAATATTTTGGGGGGGGGTAAAGGGGAGGTGCCCCCATCCCCCTCGCTGGCCCCGCCGCTAAAAATCGGGAAAAAATGGGAAAAAATGGGAAAAATCGGCTGCAAAGCGACACCGCCGGGCTGCCCGCGGGGGGGGGGGGGCAAGCACAGCGCCCCCCAGGATTGAACCAAAACTCGGGGTTTTTTTGTATTTTTTTTTTATTCCAGCCGCGGGAAGAAGGCAGGAAAAAGCTGCCCCCCCCCCCCAAAAAAAAAAAATAAAAATAAAAAAAATTCCAGCCTCGCTTTCCCTTTTCAATGCCCCCCCCCGGCCCCTCCATCCCCCCAAATTCCCCATTTATTTGGGAATTAAAACCCCAAAACCCGGTTTCTACAGGGAGGGGGGGAGGAGAAAATCCAATTTCATCCCGATCTAAATAAATAAAATAAAATAAAAATAATCAACCCCCCCCCCCCGTGCCCCCCCCAGGGGTTTCGAGCCGCCCGCAGCCACCGCCGGGCGTTTCCAGGCTGCCCCCGGTCAAAAACCGGGTGAAATCACCCCAAAAATCGCTGGGTGGGGGTGGGGGGGAGGCTCCGGACCCCCCCCTGCACTTTATTTATTTTTTTTTCCCTTTTTTTTCTTTTTTTCCCCCATTTTTTGTAAAGCGGCGCCGCGTTCCTGGCGTTCCGCAAGGCGCCGGATTTAAGGCAAAAAAAAAAAAAAAAAAAGAAAATTAAAAAAAAATCCGTATTTATAGAAAAAAAAATGGGGTTTTATTTATATCCCAGAGCCGGCTGCGTCAGAGCCGAGGGCTCAAACCCCGCTGCTTTTTTTTTTCCTTTTTTTTTTCCCTTTCTCCTGCAGCAGCCCGAAAAAAAAATAATAAAAAAAAAAAATAAAAAATATATAAAATATAAAATAAAAAAAAAATAGGAGAGGGGGGATATTAATGGCTTAATCGCTTTTATGTGGCTTTAAAAGCATATTTGATAAATGTTTAATGCCTTCACGCCCGGACCTCCCCGCCGCTGTCCCCGGGCCGGGGGGGTTGGCGTGCCCTAAATGCCATAAATCAGGGAAATGCTAATAAAAAGGCTGCCCCCCCCCCCGCCCCCCCCCACCCCTTCCAAGCCCTTCCTCCTCCTCCTCCTCCTCCTCCTCCTTTCCCTCCTCCCCCGGCCGGAGCCATTTTGCAGCAGCAGCTCCGGGGCTGGGGCAGGGCTGCAAAAAGCCCCCAGAGCCCCCTCCCGGTTAAAAATTCCCCCCCCCCCCTCCCCGTGTACCTCTCGTTTAATTTAATTTAATTATTAGGATCGCTTTTTCTCACCGCTTTCCCCATTAATCCCCCCCCCGTTATCCCCTCGCCCCCCCCCCACCCCCAGCAGCAGCCCCTCCGGGGGGGGCACCACGCTTGGGGGGGGCTCTCACGTTTTCTGCCTGAAATCACCGTGTTTTTTCCCAAAACGCCGATTTTTTATCATTTTTTGGGGGGGAGCCGTTCACTGATGACCCCCCCTCGGACAGGTTCCCACGGTGCCGCCCGCCCCCAGCCCCGGGGGGGGGACACCCCCCACCTCCTGCTCTGCCCCTTCATTAGTGCTTTAATTTATTATTATTAATTCATTCAATTCCCCTTTTTTCCTTTTTTTCCTTATTATTCCAATTTTCTACTTTTTTTTTTCTCCCCCCTTTTTTTTCTTTTTTTTTTTTCTCCCCCCTTTTTTCTTTTCCCTCCCCCCTTTCTCACCCCCTTTTTACCCTTGGGGGGGTCAATGGGAACAGAAGGGACCAGCCTGGAGATGTGAGAGTCAAAACAAACTGTCCCCCCCCCTCCAAAAATCTCCCTTCCCTTGCTTTTTGGGGGGGCAAAGCCTTGGGGGGGCTAAAGGGGGGGGGCTCAATTCCTTTCCCACATCACCAAAGCGGAGCAGGGATCCCCCCCCCAAAATAACACCCCCCCCCCCAGGGGGTGGCACAGCACGGATGGGATTTGAAGGCAAAAAGGGGTCCCTGGTGCAACGCATCCCAATACCAGGATAAATTTGGGGGGCATGCGACCCCCCCATCCTCGCTGCATCCCGGTGGGGGGGTCCCATAGGGAGACCCCCAGGAAGCAGGTGAAGGATCCCGGGGTGTTTGGTGGAGCAGGGCTGGCTTCTTGGCTTGTGTTTTGGTTTGGGTGTTGGTTTTTGCTTTTTTTTTTTTTTTCTCATCTTTTACCCTATAAAAAGTTTTTTTTTTCTTCCAAAATCAGGCAAAAATAAATAAAAAATAAAGAACCCCCCCGAGCAGGATGGGGGCTGGCACCCACCACCCGCGGATGGCTGGGGAGGAGCGCAGATCCCAGGGCTGCTCACACCCCAGGGAGTGAAAAATGTGGTTTAGTGGGGAAATGTAGGGGAAATACCCCAAAATGCAGCCCCCCTATAACGCCCGGTGTCACAACTGGAGGTTTTTGGCACCCGTGTGCCGGGCTGTGCAGGGTGAGCCCTGTGCCAACCCGTGCCCGAGGGGGGGTTCCCTGGATCTGTCATTTTGGGATCGGATGGGGCTGGGAGGGAGCATCCGATTTGGGATCAAGTTTGGGATTTGGGGTAAAACCGGTGTCCCCTTCTACATGCCTGCCTGTCGTGACATGCAACGTGTCACGACAAGGTGCCATCCGTGGACCCTGCCCTGTCCCGAGGTGCTGCCCGTGCGCCCTGTCCGTGCGCCCTGCCCTATCGTGACAAGGAGCCATCCAAGGACCCTGCCCTATCGTGACAGGCACCATCCCCGCGCCCCACCCCCCCCGTGGTGATTTCACGTGCCAGGTCCCACCACGGCCCCCCCAGGGCTGTATTTTTTTTTTCCTCGCCCTCCCCAGGGACTCTGCCCCAGCCGCGCCGTCACCGCGCGCAGCTCAGCGCCCCGGCCCCGCTGGTGGAAAAGAAGAGCAGGGGCAAAACCCAACGCCAAAAACACCCCAAAAAAAGAGCCTGACCCACAGGGAAACGGGCCCCAAAGCTGAGCCCGGCCTGCTGCTGCCGGCAAAAGCACGTCTGGAGAGAGCCCGCCGGGATGAACACCAAAAATTCGGCAGCAATAAGGGGCGCACGGGGAGACCCTCGGAGCCACTGGCTCCTCCTGTCCTTGGGGTGCTCCGTGCACCCACCAAGCCGTCACAGCACCCCATGGGCACGTCACAGCACCCCATGGCCAACCCAAACACACTGGAAGGACCCCATGGGGGCAAATTTGGTGGAAACATCCCCGGTCCAAGCACTGTTGGAGAGGGCTCCCCAGCCCCAGTGCGAGACCCCACGGTGTCCTTTCGCCTCCAACCCCCGGTGAGGGTGTCCCTTGACTGTCCCTTCCCACGTCCCCAATGCTCCTCGTGGCCCTGGGTGTGATGCAGGACCCGGGACGGGCGTCCCCACGCCCCGGCGAGCAGCGGGGTTCGGCGAGGCGAGCCCTTTCTGCCCCACAAAGCTCTGCAGGCAGCGGGCCGATAATTATTATTTCCTTAAAGACGAGCCGAGCGGCTAGAGACAAAAAAAAAAAAAAAGAAGAAAAAAAAAAAGTCCCCTCTTGTCGGAGCTGGAATTTGATGTCCTAACGACTGTTTTTGTACCGTGGCTGTTAGAGGAAAGAGCTCGGCAGGAGGGGGAAAGAGAGATTTAATTATAGAGCTGCATTGTGATTTTGCACACATAGCTGGCTGCTGTAATCAGGTTACAAGTGTATCTGATTTTCCTCCCTCCCCTCCCTCTTCCTCCTCTTTCTCTTTCTTTTCTTGCCTTTTTTTTTTTTTTTTTCCCCTTTTTTTCCTTTCGGGGGTCCCAATGACTTGCTGATGTTTGGGTGGCGCGGGGACGAGCTTTTAATTTGGCTTCTCCCAAGGAGATGGCGATGAAGGGAGCGATGCTGCAAAAACCCCCACGGGACCCCCGCGGGGCTGCAGCTCGGCCCCTGCTCCCCGCCAAATTCCTGCAGATTCGGCCCCGCTCCCCCAATAAATAGAGGTTTTTGGCGGAGAGGAGGAGCCCTATTTACCTCCGCCGGGGTGGGAGGAGGAAAAGAGGAGAAAACACATTTTTAAAAGCAACTTTCTGGATTTGTAGCCGCTGCTGTGCCTGGATTCGGGACTGTTGTTAGGTTCGTTTAGGAATCCATTGTTGTCCATGTGAATTCTTTTTTACATTTCAAATAACAGGATTATTTCCCCAGGGGGTAATATCCTGTAATTTGAACACAATAATGGGAATAAATTACTTACTTAGAACTAATAACGACAGCCTGATTCCAATATATATAGGAACTGTAACAGCTTTGGTTAGTTAAAGTGTAATTGTGTCGACGGATGACATTTTCTTTCAAAGGAATCTGAATGACTTTTAATTAAATTTGCTGGGGGTGGGGAGGAGAGGGAGATACCGGGCAGATCTCTGCAGCCGTGGCCCCAAAGCTTGGCGGGGAAGGCTGGTGATGGGGCAGGACCCAGCGGGGGCAGGATCGGGGTCGTCTTCTCCCACCCCTCTTAGCCCTCTTTTTAGCATTTTGGGGTGGGGGGCAGATTGGCAGCGTGCAGGGCAGGGGGGGCACTGGGGTCCTGGGCACCCCTGGGGCATCCCCAGCGGATGGGTTTTGGCCATCGGTACTGGGAAAAGGTGGTGGGAACCCACCAGGCCCCCAAAGGTGTGATCCTGCCCCCGTGCCCCCTCCCCAGAGCATCCCCCTGAGCTGCTGGTGAGGAGGGCAGGGATGGATGGAGGGGCACAGCCTTTCCCCTACCCACCCGTGGGGATGGAAGAGCTGTGGGGGATCCCGGGGGGGCTCTCCTGTACCCCAAAACACCCCGACCAACCCCCTGCTTTGCACCTCTCCTCCCCATACCCCCATACAGGGCTTTCCTGCAAAGCACCTGGGGGGGTTAGTTCTGACCCAGCAGCGCTCGAGGTTCCCCTTGGAGGAAAAAAAAGAAAAAAAAAAAAAAGAAAAAAATTAAAAAAAAAAAAAGGCATCTTTCAGCCACGGTGTGCAGAAAGCCAAGTCCCTGCCCCGAAATATCTCGGAGAGGAGCGGCGTGCCGCTGCCAGCGGCTCCGGCCTCCTCCTCCTCCTCCAGGACTCCTTTTCCTCTGTTTATCTTGAAAATATTTCTGCGCTGAGGTCCCACCCAGCGCCGCCGAGCCCTGCGAGGCCGCCTCCAGCCTGACACACGGCCTCTTGTTTATCCAGAGCCAGTTTTACAAATAGCTCATTAAAGCCCGGGGGCCTGCTTACTGCGGGGAAAAAAAACCTCGCCGAGCGCACCCGGCCGCACGCAGCCCCCACCGAGGCTCCCTCCGGCCCCCCCGGGATGGGTTGCAGATGGCTGCTGGCTTTTGGAGTTTCTCAAGATTCCAGATTTTTAATAATAATTATAATTATAATGAGGAGAGCCGGAGCTGGAGCTCCCTCTGGTCCCGTCCCTGCCCCGCCGCCGGGATTTTGGCACGTCCCGTGCGATGCTGCTGGGTCTGGGTCATGGGATGGTGGGAGGGTCGTGGGGGTTTTGTGAGAGCCCGCTGCAAACGGGGGTGGTTTGGGGGTGGATTTGTAGGGATTTGGCTCAGATGGTGAGGTTTGGCACACGGCAAACCGTGTTAGGGGTGTCCTGTTAGGGGCTCGAGCCTGGATATAGGGTGCGGGTACCTCTGGCCCTGCTGCCAGAACTGCCCTCAGCCAGAGGGCTGGGATGGGGACCCTGCCCTGGTGCCCCCTCCTCATCACCCTAATGTGATGCCAGACTCAGCCCCAATTCGGGACGCCCACCCCGAGCATCCCCTCCCCAAATCCCCCCTTGGCACGCACCCACGCAGGGATCCTTCTGGCCAAGGGGATTGGGTTACCTGCCCCTGCAGGAATAAAGCCACCATTCAGCGGCGCTTTCCGCCTTTCCCTCTGCCAAGGCCAGACACCACGGTGACCGTCACACACCGAGGCAGGGGAATACGAGCCCCCTCCCTCCAACGGTGACCCCGATCCGCCCGCGTCCCCCCTCTCCAACCCCATAACTCCAGGCAGGGCGCACGCTGCGCTCGCCCGTCCCCGGCTCCCTTTATTTTTAATAAAACCTTTAGAGCAGAAGTCAGTCCTCGCCGGCACAAAGGCAGCGAGATCTCCTCCCGGGATATTAATCACGGTCTTGGACGCGTTTTGCTAATTAGCCGAAGCGTTTGCCTCGACGGGGGAGAAATTGGGGCCTGGGAAAATAAAGAAATAAAAAATAATAAATAAAAAAAAAAGGAAAAGAAGGGGGAGAGGTGGAAGAAATGGGGCAGAGGGACAGAGGTTGGACACTGCTCTGCGCTCACATCCCCAGGGAGCAAAGCCAGCAGCAGCAGCTCCATCCCCAGCCTGGTGTTATCGGGACGGGGCGATCTGCAGCCCATTTTTACCTTCCCCATCCCCTTCCTTCTCGCCCCGGTTCTTGCCCGGCGCGACAGCAGCGGGCTCTTTGAAACGTGCTGGCTGGAGCTTCGACTGGCTGCTTTATCTTTTACACGGCTGTTAATCCTTGGGACACATGTTTCCTATAAGCTGGTGATATTTAACATACAATAAGCGCCTTATTAAAGCGCGGGGGCTGGCTCCACGCAGACCGCTCCCCCCCCCCAAAATGTGCTCCCGGCCGAGGGCACCCCAAAGGCCACCCCAGCACCCTCCGTGGCCATGGGTGTGCAAGGTGAAAAATGCAGCAGGGGGAAGGCTCCCCTGCCTCTGAGCAGTTCATGAATACAAGAATTCCTTGCAATTTTTTAAAGTCTTATTTTTAACATTTTTTTGGCACTGCCTGGCACTGTACATGTGGAGGTTTGGCCTGTACCCGGGGCTGAGGTCCCACCGCAGGCAGCTCTCTCCATGGGGCAGCTGGGGAGGTTTTGGGGTGGCACATTGCTACGGAGAGACCAGGAAAGCGTTAGGGAGGGCAAAAGGCAGCAGAAAACCTTCATCCCCAGCATCTCCCAGGGCCGGAGTGGCCAGCAGCGGCCGGTGACCACAGGGACACGGCTGGGAACCAGCCCATCCCGCGCAGGAACAGCAGCTGCCCTGGGCAAACTGCTTTTTCCAAGAGTCCAACCCCATTTTCCTAGCACCCGATGTTTTCTGGGGAAGGGAACACAGAGCAACCCACAGCGAAATCCCTGTCCTGATGCACTGAAAAAAAAAAATCCCAGTAAGAAACCGGCTCCCAGCACGTAACCTCTCCACACCCCAGCGAGCAAACCCTCGGATAGAGCCGGGGAGGAAATTTCATGGCACAAAACTGCTCGGCACCGTCCCCTTCTCCCAGCAAAACCAAGCGCAATGACAACAAAACCGGGCGACACTTTCCCCGCTAGGGAAGGGCACCCGGCTGCGGGTCCCCCCGGCCGTCCCCATGGCTCAGAGCAGAGGCAGCGAGAGCGTCGCTGGGGAGCCGGGGCCGCTCCTTCGGGCAGCGCTAAGAAAATAAATCGCAGCTCTTTGCTGCTCTTCAGCACGAGCTTCTCATTGCTGCGGGATGACACACGCCGCCCCCACCAAAACAAGGCGCTTTATTATTATTCTGTTTCTAATTTGGGGCTTGGAAATAATTTTCCATCCCGGCTTCCAAACTAAACCAATCAAAAGAATAAAAAAAAAAAAAAAAAAAAGAAAGAAAAGAAAAGAAAAAAAAAAAAAATAAAAAAGAAAAGAAATTTGCTTTCCAGAGAGCCACCCAGGGGTCGGCGCTGCGCGAGAGGGATGGGAGCGTGAAAAGTCACGGGAAAGCTTGCGGCGGTCGAGGCGAGGGCTGCTCCCTGCACCCGTTTCCAGGAAAAATAATAATTTTTTTTTTTTTTTTTTAAGTTAAAAAAGGCAGTTATATAGAGAGCATAATGCATAAATCCTTCACCATTTTTTTTTTTTTTTTACCCAAAGTCTCCTGGTGGATCCTGTTTGCTCCCTGCACCCCCAGGCGCACCCACGCTGTCGCAGGCGTGCCCAAACCAGCACGCGCGGCGCTGGCGAGGGGCGGTGGAAACCCTGCAGGCTTCCTCTGCCGTTGTATAAGAGCCGCTGGAAAATAATAATCCCCCAAAAATTCGGCACTGGGAGCGTGACCAGGCTGCTTCCCAGGCGGCCGGCACGGTTTGCAGAGCCAACGCTGCACGAGGGGAGAGGGAAAAATAAAAAATAAAAAATGCCTCCAGGTGAGGAAAGCGCTGCGGGAAGGTCAGGATCCCAGCTGGGTTCATACCAAAGTCCTCCAAAAAAAAAATAAAAAAACAATAAACACAGAGCGAGGCACAGAGGCAGAGCACCCGGCATGCTGAGCGGCCGCAGCACAACAAGGTTTGGTGTGACTCAGCGGTGGGCAGAGCCGAGCCGCTGCGTCCCGCGGGTGGGCTCGGCCATGGGGACCCCAAAGGAGAAGCCCCCGGGGTCAGGGGGAGGATGCTCGGCGTGGCCCCGTGCGCATCACTGCGTGGATCCGTTCCCCTCCCCAGGAGGAGGCAGGGAAGTGGTTTGGGGTCACGCTGGGAAGGCTTCAATGGGAAACCCCAACCACGACCAGGGGTCTCCGGCCCTCATCCTTTGGGCATGGGGAGAGGTGTTTAGTCTGCAAGGTTTTCCCGTCCTCCCCAACCCAATTCCCGGGGGTGTTTCATGTGGACACCCAAGATGTGCCCTCACCATGGCCTTGGGGCTTCTCCGCATCTCCCCTGCACCTCCGGCTCGTCCTGAAACCCCCGGGGCTGCCAGGCGCTCCCCACGGCACCAGCGCTACGGAGGAAGAAATTAGAAAAAAAAATAATAATTTATTTATTTTTTTTTTTAGAAAAGAAGCAACCCGAAACAAACAGTTTTGATTTATTGCTCGCGAGGAGAAATAGAGCATGTTGAAAGAAAGCACAGGAAGTCCTGGGGATAATAAATCCTGCGCAGGAGCAGATAAAGCCAACGCGCTTCCACGCTTGGGGAAGGCGGCGAGGTTACGGGGAGGGCGGGCGGGTAAAGTTTAGGGAATCTGGGGTGGGTTTTCGGGTTAAAAATACCCCAAAAAATAAATAAAGTTCAGCGATGGCTGCTGAGCAGCAGGGGCCTGGCACGGAGCCGGTGGGACTGTCCCCATCACCTCGAGTTTTGGGCACGGGATGAGCCCAGGTGCCAGGGAAGGGGACGGCGCAGCGGGGGCCCCCCTGGTCTGTGTTCCCTGACCCACAGACGTGTGGCAGGGATGTGACAGCACCGGGATGGTGTGGGGAGGACCGGGGCTGCTGCCCGTCCTCGTCAGCCGCAGAATAACAGGAATCCTGGATGCGCTGCGGGTACAGAAACAGCACGTACTCGTTTCTGGCTGGGTTTCCTGGCAGCCCCAGCGAGGATTTGGCTGCGCAGGAATTTGGAAGCTGCCTTAAATCCAGGAGAAATGAGAAAAGGCTGGAAGTGACTTTCTGAGCGGAGTTCCAGCAGCAAATCCCCGCTCAGCAGCAGCTCGCGGAGCAGGGCAGTGCCTGCCCGATGCATGGCACCGGGGACACGTTTGGAGATGGAGGTGCTGGGTATCGCCTCCTCCTCCATGGGGACACCGTGGGGCCCCCCAGGACCCATCGCCTCCCTCTTCCACCACCCCAAAAAGCCTCCTCGGCCACAATGTGCAGAGGGCAACCTCCGAAACAGAGCGAGTGGGACAAGAAGTCCCTGTGCGCATGGGGGGTACACATTGGCTAAAATACCTATTATTATAGGAGTCCCCATCGGCACCAGCCGGCAGGATTTGGGCCACCCTTGAAGCGAGCCCTTTCCACCACAATGGTTTCTATCTCTCTTAGGATAACATTTTTAGTCAATATCCCCACCACCCCACACACTTGCTGTACAAACAAGACCTCTCCTCGATGTTTTTAAGCACCCTGATATCCCCCAACCCTGATCCAGTGCGTCCGCAGGGGTACCCGGCCCCAGGAGCTCTGCTTCGAGCCCAATCCCCCTTCCCCAGCCCCTTCCCCTCCTCCTGTTTGCTCACACCCGACCTACAGAAAGGAACGTGCTCCGTGTTCCCCCAAATTTGTCCTCCTTCACTGCCCAGCTCCCTTCTGTGCAAGAGGCTGGGACAGGGATGGACACAGGGGACCCCACACGTCTCCTTCAAGTCACGTTGTATTCACCCAAAAGGGACTTTCCTCCTCCTTTTTCCTCACCTACAGCCTCAGGCACCCTCCTTTCCTCTCCACCTGCGCCATGACCAATGTCACCCAACATCCCAGCCGGATTTTAAATATTAATCCTTTAAATCCCATGTGGGAGTCTGCAGGGGAACGGCTTCCTATACGGACAGCTTCCTATACGGACAGCTTCCTATATGGACAGGAACTTTTGCACCAGGCTGAGCATCTACAAAACCAAAGACAGCAGCAAACCCACTTTAAACAAGAGCAGAAAGACAGCCCCATTCTGGCCAGGTACTCAAATCAAATTAAATCCCAAAGGCCAGACCGCAAAAGCCTCCCCCAAGCAGGGGGAACCCTCGGTGTTTCACCTGGGTTGGAGAATGGCTACTGATGATGCTTTGGGGTGAGCAGAGATGCTCACTGGGGATTTGGGATCCCCTCCCATCAACCCACGTAGCCAAAAAATACATTTTTTTTTGCTCATCATCAGTAATCCACCATAAAACGGGGAAAGAAACCCCATTGTGCCCTCACTCCCATACAGCCAGGGCGGCGTTAAACCACACCAAACAAGCAAGCGGATGGGAAGGCAAAGAGAAAAATTGCATTAAAGAGCGAAATCAGGTTAAAAACCCAAGCGTGCACCATAAATACCAGCGTGGGGTGCGTGCGGGCGGAATGGCCGAGCGCATCGAAGCGGCGGCGAAGCGAGGGCGCAGATAGCCCTAAACGCAGACAGCGCCCCTACAAAAATGCTTTGATTAGGATCTGGGCAGCATTCAGCCCAGATGTTCATTTGTCAATGAAAGAGGGATGGGGGGGAGGTGAGAAAGGCTTTAAATTAATCTTTACAACTAGAAAGGAGCTTGTAATACACACCATATGGGCACCAACGGCCTCCGAGCCCCCCCGGCCCCACCGCGGCTGCCTTGGATCAGGCTGGGGCTGGATCCTCCCTCCCCCCCCCAGCCCTGATTTGCCCCCATCCCAAAATTTCAGCCTGGGGTTTTCCCAAAACAACCAGGGGAACGTGAACCCAAGGTGCTCGGCCCCTTCCACATGTGTTTTAATCCTGCCCCCTCTTACCGTGCACAAAACTGCGACTCCTCTCTATTTTATCACCCCCCCCTTCCTCTCCCGCATCCACATGTGGCTTCTTTTTTTTATTTATTTTTTTTAACCCCTCCGAGTGGCTGTTTATTAAATGCCATCCGAATTAATCCCCCTAATGGACTCGTCGGCATCACGGCGTGCATCGCAATGAACGCTCTGGCACCTCTCGGGGAGCAAACCTGCTGGAGAGCCGGGCCGGCGGTGGTGGCAGCGATGGGGACAGACCTGGGGAGGGAGAAATAAAAAATTAGCTACAAATGCCCGACGTGACGTGGTGGTGACGGGGCTGCGGGCGGCCCCCAGGAGCTGCAGCCCCAGCAGAGCAGCGAGGACGGGAGCTGCTCCTTCGTGGGAAGAGGGGAAAAAACAAAACGTGCTGCTGGGGTAGGATGGATGCGGAGGAGCCCCCATGCATGGAGACATCCTGGGATATTTTTTTTGCTGCTCTGGAGCCCTGGGAAGTGGTGGCAGGAGGATGCTGAGCCCCGTCCCTGCTGCACCCCGATGGTTTGGGGGAGCTGCTCAGGCTCCATCCCTCCAGGCTGAGCCCCCAGCAGCTCCCAGCCATCCCCCAGCACCCAGGGGACCCCTGGATGCGGCCGCACGGACAGGACAGCGCCCAGGGGGGCAAGGGGAGCGAGGATGTCCCCAGGATGGGGACACAGGGAGGTGTCACAGCCCAGCTCAAGGGGACATCAGCCCTTCCTCCAGGAGCTCCGAGGCCCCGAGGAAGGAGGCAGCAGCAGCAGGGGTGCAAGCAGAGCCCTTTCTGCCACCGCTGGGGGCTCGCACGGGGTGCGGAGCAGCGCGCACGGAGCTGGGGAGCAGTGTGGGGTGTGTGAGCGGTGCTGAGCCCCGTCTGGGCCGTGTCCCCCCAGCGGGACGTGTCCCCAGCAGCCCTCCTGTCCCCATCGCACAGGCTGTAGTGACATCTGCTGGGCTCTCGCTCAGGAGCTCCCCACCAAAAATGTTCAGCGCAGACCCTCCGGCACCGCACGGTGCCAGGCCCTTCGCCCTGGGAAAACGGGGGACACCCGGCCCCAAATTGCCCCAATGTGCCCCAAACCTGGCTCCTCGGCACCCCAACAGCTTTGCTGCCAGCCACAAGCCAGCTCCCAGCCAGGACAGCATCGCCACGGGGGTGAAACCAAACCTCCGTGCGCCAGGAGCCACCGGGTGCCCACAGCACCTCGCCACCAGCACAGGGCTCCTGCTGGGAGCAGCGGGGTGCTGGCAGAGCCGAGGGGTGCTGGTGGTCGTGGTCCCCAGGGAGATGGGGCAGGGGGCTCCCTGGGGGCCCAGGAGCTGGAAAAAAAAAAATCAAATCAAATCAAAAACCCGCATCCAGCTTTGGGGGGGGAGGAACGATCGAATGAGGAGCAGGGGTAGGTTGTTTATCTCGAGCTGATTTTGATTTTCTCCTTTCAAATATCAGCAGGATGCTGAGCCTCGCCTCATTATGCAAATAGAAGCAATTAGAGCTCACCCAGGCTCTGCCCACGTGACGGGTTTATGGCACTCGCCGAAATCCTTCCTGCTACACGAGAGGAATAACAACAGCCCCCCGGCCGCGGGCTCCAGCCCCTCGCCCCCCGGCATCCCCACCCGGGTGCCCTTCGATGCCCACGGGGGAGGATTTTCCCCCGAGGAGTCTCCCCATCCTCCAGGGGGACACCAGTCCCACCAGTAACAAGTCCCACAGGGTCCTGGGATGGGGAGAGCCACGCTGGGAGTGTCTCCAAAACCTTTTTCTCTACCCAGCCAGGGGGGACCCCAAAAATGCCTCAATTTAGGGGTGGTGTCCAGGTGGATGCTCTTTGCTGCAGGGTGGCTTCAGCTTCATCAACGCCTGCAGAAAGGAGCAAATCCAGAAGTGTTTCCAGCCAGGGCTGCAGCCTGGCAGAAGCCCCAGCCTCGCGGGTGACCTAAAGTCACCAAATGGGGGTGAAAACCCCCAAAAACTCCTTGCAGCGACACACGCACCTGGCAGAGGGGCACCCACATGGTGATGCGTTGAGGATGCTCTGTGGGGATGAGGAGGGATGGGATGAAGCTGGCACAGTGGCACCGGGGTCGGAGGGTGCTGGTGCCCCTCGTGGGGCACACGGCGACCCGCAGGGACCAGGCACGGACGTAAATCCGGTGCTGCTCCCCTCCACCCATCACCTTCCCCCCGATTTATACCCTTGGAGGGTATAAAATCCCACCTGGAGGCTGCACCCCCAAAGGAACACAGGAACCAGGGTGAGTGAAACACTTCCAGCATCGATCTCCCTCCTCATTTATTTTTTCCCCTTTTTGGATGCAAATGGAAATTGATGAGCCCAGGCTGCGCCTGGGAGGCTCCTCACCTCCAAGGGCATTTTGCTGTCTGCATTCCTGGGGTGAGGGAAGGGCACGGGGTCCCCAATGTCCCCCCCTTTCTGCTGGGTCTCTCGCACATCTCTGTGCTGCTGGAGAGCTCCCAGGCAGCTGGCTCAGCCCGGGGGCGTTTGTTGCAGAGCACGCTGAGACTTCATTACAGGCTGTTTCGTGGTGTCACCACGTTTAACATGTGAGCATCCCGCAGGAATCCCGGGTCTGGATCCCCTCGCTGGGTTCTGCAGGGCCCTGGGGTGGGCAGGCAGCACGGATGGAGCTGGGTTTGGGGTTTGGTCTCCCCCAGCCAGGGCAGCTCCGAAGGATGGGGTAACACAGCGTGGAGAGGGGTTTGCCAAAGCAGAAAATAAATGGTAAAGATGGAGCAGCTCCGTACCTCCAGCGCTGTGCACACGGGGATGCAGGGGTCCGGAGCTGAGCTGGCTTTTCCCCAAATGGCTCGATGCTTCCAGACGAGGAGCTCCAACCCCTGGTTTCTTCTCCCACAGCACGCGAGCATCGGGCAGAAAGCAGAGAGGGGAGATCCGGGTGCACCCCACGTCCCGGCGAAGCCCGTGGGTCTCACCCCGAGGTGCTACAGAGACAAAGAGCTGAGGACCAAGATAAAAATCTCCCCGTGCCCGTATCCACGTCCCTGCAAGCAGCAGGTGTCACATTGCTCCAAACCTCCCCAGACGGAGCCGTGCCTCGAGCAGGGCTGGAGCAGGACGCAGCACACAGAGGAAGGGTTGGAGAGGCTGAGCAGCACCGGCCGCGTCCCTCCTGCAGCAGCAGGAGCAGGATCTGGCCCAGGGGGTGTAGGGCAGGGGCTGGACCTGCCCTGGGGTCAGCCTCTACCCAGCTGCTTGTAGGCAGGGCTCAGGAAGAGTTTTTGGTTTTTTTTTCCTTCCATGACAGAGCGGAGCAAATAATTCATAGCGGATAAATAATTCACAGCGAGTTTAGCCTTCCTCCGGCTGAGGATCGTCTGCGAGCTGTTAGCAATTATCCCGTATTTATTTGCGAGGCAGAGTTTTTAGTTGAATTATTCAGACAAGCCAAGGAAAAGCCCGGGGAAAAGGAGGAGATACCCGAAGCTGCCACTCGCCTTCCTCACCGGAGTCCAGCATGGGACAAGCAGGGGGCTCCATCGTTCCTGCTGTGCCCCCCCTGTGCGATGGGCACCTGGGATCAGAGCCCCCCCAGGGTGTCCCAACCTCGGTGTCCTTCTGCTGACCAAGCAGGAGGGCCTGGAGCACCAACCCGAACACCCAAGGGTGCTGCACAACCACCTCCAAGCACACGGATAACCAACACCCCTAGCTGCATCCTGCATGGATCAGGGCTCACACACTCACCCAGGCTCCTTCCCCCTCAAATTCCTCCTTCCTGCACTACCACGGGACAATCCTCCTCTCCTCCAGAGCCACTTTCCTCTTTCCACAGCTCCCAGTTTGCTCAGGGGGGCTCTCAGCACCCCACCTGCCCTGCGCCCCGCAGCCGCTCCCCAGGGTGCAGGATCTGGAAGGAGCAGCCCCCGTCCCGCAGGGATGCGAGGAATGCCCCACGTCAGCACTTGGCCAGCAATAAATAACTAAATAGTGGGGGAAGGTGGAGGCTGCGGCCCTGGGGGTCTCCAAGGGCTCCCCCCAGCTCCATCCCCAGTATTTTTGGGGCTCTGGGCTGTTGGGGCCACGGAGGTGCTGGGCATGGGGTGCGCGTCCTCGCCACGGTGAGGCAGCTCTTGGAGGAGCCCAACTCCCCCCCCGGGGTGGGGAATACAACACAAAGAGCTTTTGTACAAAAAGCAGATGTTTCTACCTCAAGGTGTGCAAGCAGAAAGAGAGGGGAAGAGAAACGCAGCAGCTCGGAGCTGGGAGAGCAACGCGGGGAGGGAAGGAAGAGGGGGGAGGACAAGCACAGTTGAGCCCCTGTTGTTGGCCCTTTTTGGGGGGCAGAAGGTTCATGACCACCCCGAAGGGCTGCAAAACTATGCCCAAGGAGGGGACACGTCCCTGCCCATGTCCCCACCGCCGTGACCCTGGCTGCGCTCACGTCTCAGCCCCAGCAGCCCTACAACCCGCGGTGCAATCACCGAGCCCCTGCTGCAGGGGAAGCAGCTGCTGCCCTGATGAAAACCACCGGGACACAAAGCTCAGCACCCCCTGCCCGCCTCTCCGGCTGGGAACGGCAGCACCTGGGCCGTTATCAGATGGGTTCGGGTACCCCATGCCTGTCACCTGGCTCCAGCACCGCGCCGTTTGCCAGCCGGAGGAGGACGGGGCTGCAAACAGAGCCCAGAAAGCCCCCAGCACCTCCCCAAGCTCTCCACATGCTCAGGCTGGTTTTGGGAAGCTTTGGCTCTCTCTGGCAGCCCCCCAGCTCACGGCACGGGTGCTGTCCAGGCACAGGGCAGGGGATGCTGCTCAGGACCAGACCCAGCGGGTGGCGTTGCCTGGAGGCGATGAAGGAACGCGCCCAAGGACGCACCAAGTGTGCTCCTCACATCGGGGAACCAGAGGTTTTCAGCTCCTGAAAGTCACCACGGTGCTGATCCGTATTCACCCAGTGCCAGCCCCAAGCTCCACTTCATTTGGGATTTCCCCGGTACCTTTTGACTTCCTTGAGAAAGGAAAAATCTGTCCTGGGGTCACCGCTGGCTTTGGCACAGAGACATTCCCGTGGCAGCAGCTCAGCAAGGATGGATTTGGGGTACAAGGAGGCAGCCTGCAAGGAAAATAGTGGCACAGGAGGGTCCCCGGTGTGCCGGGATGGCTGGAGCTGTTGGAGAGCCACCGGCGGGTTACAAGCCAAACACAATTTTGAATTGGAGAAGTGTTTCCAGGAGAGGCAGAGGAATACAAATGCCATCGGACCAGACACGGGGGAGCTTCATCTGAAAGGCAAATATTTCAAGGGGAATAAAATCCGGAGAAGGGCAGAGGAGCTCATCCAGCTGAAGCCCAGCACCGGTCCGAGACCAGCAGGACTTGGAGAGGGGGGGAGCTGGAAGTTTCCTCCCAGCCGTCAGAGCGAGGAGACGCTGTCATGGCCCTGATGGAGAAAAAACAGTGTGAGACACCCCAAAACCAGAGCAGGATCCCCTTCCCTGACACGGTCACCAGCCATAACAGCAGACGACAGTCAGAGCAGAGCCCTAACCCCGCTGTAAATGATTAAAATGAGGGGCACCCAGCTAAAGCCTGATTGCAGCGGGCTGCTCGCGCATTTGCTGGGCAGCTGGGCTGTGCTCCTGCAGAGCCCGCAGGGCACGGGTAGGATTATGCTGGAAATGGGGAGATTCCCCCAAATCCTACACCCTGATCCTGGCGGAGGGGTCGCCCTCCCCGTGGGAAATGGGCTCAGAAATTCAACAGGATGGGAAAAGGGAAGGTGGGTGATATTGGGGTTAGGAGGTGCGGCTGAAAACATCAAATTCATCATGGAGAAACATTGCCCTGGGGTTTGAAAGGATAAAACCTGGTGCAAAGATCAGAGCTGCTGCAAGGGGCTGCCTCACTTCGCACCCCGAGTGCCTGAGGGACACGGAGGGACCACGTCAGGGTGCGCAGCAATGGGGCAAGGGGAAACGGTTTTAAGCTACGTGAGGGGGATTTAGGGGAGATGTTAGGAGGAAATTCTTCCCCCAGAGGGCAGTGAGGCACTGGAACAGGCTGCCCGGAGAGGCTGTGGATGCTCCATCCCTGGAGGTGATTAAAACCAGGCTGGATGAGGTTCTGGGCAAGCTGAGCCAGTGGGAGGCGTCATGCCCACAGCAGGGGGTTGGAATGAGATGCTCTTTAAGGTCCCTTCCATCCCGAGCCATTCTGTGATTCCGTGGAAGAGCCAGGAGGCATGAAATATCCCCTTGCCATCCTTGGGACTGTCACCTGCCATCAGGAACGTGGCTGTAGAAGCTCACAGCCCTCGGGCTGCGCCAAGCCCGTGCACACCTGAGAAGCCAGAGGGGACCCCTCTGCACGGCCTCTGCCCTTCTCAAGGGACCAGCAGCTCCAGCAGAGCTTTCCAGCAGCACTGAAGGGAGATTTCCCAGCCCCTCTGGTGGCTCGGGACCTGCCCGGTGCTGTCAGGAGGGTGACTGCAGCCCCAAGGGCAGATTTGCCAGAAACGCACCCAAACGGCGCAGCAGCCACGGGCTGTGTGCGTGCCTGCTGCCAAGAACTGCTGGGGCCTCCGGCACGAGAGGGGCAGCGACTTGTTTCTTCCTCTCGACTTTTCCCTAGTAAATTAAACATAATAACAGTGGTAGTAAAACCCCCTTGGCTTTATCCTCCCCCAGCAGAGCCGATGCAATTAGCAGCCTCCCTGACTGGCAGAGGCATGATTTACTCCCAAAACGGGGCGCACGAAGATGTCGGGGCAGCAGGAAGCTTCCATTTGCCCCCCAACCACGTTCCCCTCCCCGGCCGTTCCCACCACGCGGCATCAGATAAGCTCTCCCACCTCGTTTCCTCGTTAACAGCTTTGGGAGGTGCAGCCCCAGGGACAGGTTCACCTGGAGGAGCTCAGACACCTCTCCACATGGAGACCGTGCGCCATCCCATCTGCGGGATGCTCTCCAAATCCAGGCATCCCAAAACCACGCTGGTAGCCAGGACCTGGGCACGAGGTGCTTCAGAAGCAGACTGAGCTGGCTACCCTCAGCCAAAATACCCCGAAATACCCCTTGCACCAGGGAAATGAGTTCCTGTGATTTGCGCAGGCGTGCCAAGGGGAAAAGCGAAGAGGGCTCCGCGGTGCTGCACGGTGCCAGCTCCGTGCCAAGGGCATGGTGCACACTGTGGGATCACCCCGTGCTGCGATGGCTTTTTCAGCAGCCAAGCTGCTGCCCGGACAGCGCAGGAACAGCTGAAACCTCCCCAACCTTTGGGTCCCATCCCAAAAAGCCTCCCTGTCCCCAACAGGGGACGCAGCTGCAACCTCACCACCTCCAGAGCGCTCGGTTGGCCACATCCCAGCACCGTGCCCCGCACAGGGGGGCACCTTTCGGCCCCAAAGGGGACCCCGGAGAGCAGCTCGCTCCCTCTGCCCCCGCAGACCATCCTCCTGCCGTGCTCGGCCAGGATTTCACGCCGAGCTCGCGGGCAGGAGGGGCACGGCCGCGGCGGTGAGCCCCCCGCATCCCGCGGCTGCCATTTGGTCCCCTTTTAAAAGGGCCCGTGTTTGTACTTCAAAACAGCCTGTTCGCCTAATTGCCAAAAAAAAAATGAAAAATAAAAAATAAAAAGAGACACAAAACAACCCTGCTACAATGACTAATTAGCTCGCTCCTGCCTCGTACCCTGTAAACAAATGTATTTGTAACCAATTTGCAAGCACTTTGCATAAGGGGCCCAGAACACTCATGCCTGTTTGATGCATTTTGACATTAATTTGATAATAGCGGCTTAACAAGGAATCCAGGCTCCCTAGCTATAAATATGCTGCTTTTCCACTTCCTTTTATCTGCACAGTGAAATAATGTTGTTTTTCCCCCTGCTGCAATAACCACCATCCAACCCTTTCATGAATGCCCTTTATGTCCTTTAGCATTTTCAAGGCTTTTTTTTTTTTTTTTCCTTTCTTTCTTCCCCTCCCCTTCTTTTCCTCCTCCTGGAGAAAGCAAACGCCTTTTATTAGCCGTGTTTTTAATTCCTGTTTATCGGGGGGAAGGAGGAGCGAGGACGGCGATGTTACGGCGATAACGCTGCCGGCACCGGGAGGCGCTCAGAAATCCTGCTCCTTCCTTTGGGCTTCGTGGTGGGGGGAAAAGGCTCGTTTCTCTCTGCTCCTTCTCCTCTTGCTTCTCTACTCCATGCATCGAAAAGCAAATTTGAGCACAATAAAATGGGAAAAAAGCACCGGAGGCCACTTGGATGCCGAGCAGAAGGCAGCCCCTGACCCAAAGGATGCCCCCCCAGGAATCCCCGCTCTGGGTCTTTGGCTGCAGCCCCTGCTTGGAGTGGAGGTGACAACACAAGGACGTGTCCCATGGGGACCGAGCCTCTGCTGCAGCTCGTCCCTGCCCCGACACCAGCCCGGTCCCCCCTGAGCCCTCCTCTCGGATCATTAATGCCCAAACCAAGGCAGCGAGCCCAGGTCGGAGGCCTGGCAGAGGCTAGGAGCACATTCCTTCCCCAGCCTCCTCCCTCCTTATCTCTTTCCTCCCTCCCCCCAAAACCACGTTCAGATCAAAGTTACTGGAACAATAAAACCCGTAAGTTAAACACGACGGGGGCTGCTCCAACAGGGGCATAAAAAAGGCAAAGGCGAGCCCAGGATCACCTCTAAAATTTACGCCTGGTGACCTTGGACCAATTAATTTGGGGGAGATCAGTGCAGACGTGCTCCCTGCACAGACTCACCTGCCAGAAGCCAAGCACACAGCGATCCCGAGAGCTTGTACCTCCCCCGGTTATTTTGGGGATTTCTTAATCCCATCACAGCGGCGCTACCGGGATTAACCAAGCCCCTGGGCTGCGACTCTCTGGCTTGGTGCAGAGGGGTGCAGCTCGCTGCCCAGGGGCTGTGGGATCAGAGCAAGATTTAGGGGGTAGCTTGGGGTTTTTTTGGGGTGCCAGACCTTCCACCGCTCACCTCGGTTCACCTACCTGCAAACCAGGGGCTGCGGCTGTGCTGTCCCACAGAAATGAGGCTCATCAGCACGTGGACACCCAGGGAGGAGCAGCATTTCCTAGGCACGAAGCAGCCCCTCAAACTCACGTTGCTTCAACCTAAAACGCGGCACCAAAGCGTGCCCTCCCGGGAGGATGGCTTCAAAGGGGAAACACGAGGCAGGAGGCAAGGAGAGAGACCCGGTTCCAAACAGTTTCACTCTTTATTTGAAGTTTTACATGCCACCAGCGCACAGGAAAGCTGCACATTCAGAACTGGACTCACCACGAGAGCACGGGGCCGGACGCAAACACGAGCATGGAACGAGCGCACGGCTGGAGGAGCCCAAGCCCAGGAGCTGGCCGGAGCTGCTCCTGGTGTCCCTTGGTGTGCCGGAGCCAGCCCCAGAGGCCACCTTCCCCGGCCACCCCCTGGGTGCTGGTCACAACCCAGCTCTCCCCTCCCAGGGCATCGCCGTTCTCCTTCGATGAGCTCACCGAGCGGTTTTGGCAACGTCTCCGGCAAAGCCGAGGGTGTTTGGGGAGCCACTGCTCGAGCGATGCTGTCTGCATTCCCCTTCCCAGCAGTTTTGACAATGAGAAACAATTTCCACCCGCTGTTCGTAGCGAGAGACGACAGCAATAGGGACTCTTACACTGACATTTTATTTTCAAAGAAAAGTTTTGATAGAAAAACATTTTTCCCCAGCAGCCTTGGGCAGGGAGCTGCAGCTTCCACTTCAAAGGACGAACTTCAAAAACAAATCCAGTGTCCTAATGGTTTTGTGCTACATTACTTAATTGTCATACAGCTAATTAGCAATGCCTGATTTCACATTCGCTGTACATAGACGAAGTTCACAAAAGAAGGGGCTACTTAAAACAATAAATAAAACAAGGCACCAGGCAGCCAGGCTCCGACAGCATTAACATAAAACGTTACACTTTACCATTTAAAAAAAAAAAAAAAACTGAAATAAAAACCCCACTGTAATTAAACTTATATTGATGTCTTCCTTCAGATCTCAGAGCTTTGAATTTCCACGAGGGAAGGGGGAGAAGCAACGCGGAGAGGAGCAGGGGCTTAGCGCGCACGCCCGCGCACGCATTTTGCCGGCGTGCAGCAGAGATCTTTAAAATCCCAATTATTTCCCTATCACCAAGTAAGATCGGGATCAATCGATGGTACAGCCTGACCCCTTCCCTCGAGTGTTGGGGGGGGAATTAAAAAAAAAAAAAAAAGGAAAGGGAGGGAGAAAGGAGAGCGTCAGAGGTCAGCGCCACCAAACAATGGATATTGATGTCTCCATTCATTTCCAGCAGCAGAAAGGTCAATGCCTCCCTTGCTTCACGTTTTATGGCCGAAATCCTGCTGCTAACAGCAACAGTGTTAGTAGTCAGACCTCATCCATCCCGTTTCGTTATTCGGATTATTTCTACCCGGGTTGGCCATTTTGAAAATTTGACGAAAGCCGGGGGTGGGGGGGGGAGCAGAGGGGAACTGAGCCCGCTGAGGGACGGCTCTCATCGGTTTTTGGGGCTGCCTTTCCCCCCCAACCCGTGCTCTGGCTTGTCCCTCTGCCCCCTAACACAGCAGAAGGGCCGGAGGCGCCGTCCCCTCCCCATTAATCATTATTCCCCGTACATATCCCGCCTGGTTTCTATGGAAATGCTTCTCCTGCCACTGCACCCTGTACGTCTCATCGGAGGGGCCAGGGAGCTGCAGCGGAGGAGATTCGGCCCCGCAGCACCCAGCCGGGCTCGCGGGGTGCCCCGCAGGCAGGAGAGGAGCTGTGGCTGCCCGATAGGGACCAAAAATTGGGGAGGATTCCCCCCCAGGGGGATAAACCAATTCTCCTGCACCGATGAGGCTGCACAAACTGGAAAATGCCACGCAGCCGCAGCCGGGGCAGCCTCAGAAAAGGGTAATGGTGATGCCCAAACATCCCCACCACCAAATCCCAAAATCCCAAATCCCCCTGAGGGAGTGCTGGTGCCACCCAGCCCCCTTCCCACTGCCAGGTTGCAAAGAGACCCTAAAATCCACTTGGCGAAACAGCTGAGGGAGCAGTCCCCTAAAATCCACTCCTAAGAGACCTCCTGAAACACCGAGGGCTCGGTCCCACCAAGCTTCTTCCACCAAAATCACAGTCACTCCTCACACCTAAAGCCTCCCAGCCCGCAGGAACCCAAAGCCACGTTCCTAAATAGGACTTTGAACAGGAACAGAGCAAAAGACTTCTGATTTTACCCACTGCTGGGACTCGCCCCGGGACGTCCATCTCCCGGGGACCTTGCCGGGGTCACAGCACCGGCTGCTGCTCCTGCGGTCCCCAGAGCTCGCAGGGCTGATGAGGAGAGCAGCACGAAACGCCAGCAGGGACCGGGAACCCTGCAGAGGCAGCTCCTGCGAGAAGGGCACCTTTGGTAATCGACTTCATTTATTTGAAACGATGGGAAGCAGCATCAGCAGGCGCAGGGATCGCCTCGTCAGGCGCTTACGGGTAGCAGGGGGAGATTTCCAGAGAGGTGGGGACAGAAAGCAGAGGAAAGGGGAGAATTTCTTATTAAATAAAAGCAAAACCACCAGTCCCTCTGTCCTCTCCTGCTCGAAGGCTGCACGCCGAGCGGTCTCCGAGCCCCATATATTGCTCTGCTCTGAACATATGGTGCTATGCTTAATAGCCCGGCTCTGCCAATCGGGGACTATTAGGGTGGGTTCTTTTTTCCCAGTGTAAATGTTGCAGAATATAAATTGTAATTAACACCGCTGCCAAAATAGCACTTAGAGAAAATAAGCACATTATTAACATCTGGTGGATCCTGCCTGGAGTGCAGGAGCAGCGGAAATTCGCACTCACCAGAAGAGAATTTGTAGCAGGGGTTGGGAGCCTCGGCCCGCAGTCGGGGAGCAGGGAAGGAGCTTTTAGCTCCTCGTCGCTATTTATGGGGCTCCTTTTACCACCTGTGGGTGATCCCTGATCAGAGCTGGTAGCGTTTGCATCGGGACTTTTGACCCGTTTGCATGAATACAGCTGTCTGAACGCCGTGCTGCAGGCAACGGGATCGTGGTGCCGTAAAACCTGCCTGGTTGTCTGCCCCAGCCCAGCGGGACAGGCAGATGGGGATCGCTGGTGCTGCAGGGTGTAGGTGGAGAGAAAATCCCTGTTTGGGATGGGGACAGCCTTTCTCCTGCTGTGCACAGTACCAAACAGGTCCCCTTAGGCAGCAGAGAGCTGGCTCCATACCCTCAGCCTCCCCTCTACCCTGCCCTGAGGCTGGAGGCACAGGAGGAGACAGCGGCGTTGGTGCTGCCTGCTGCCTGACCCCCAGCATTTATTCCATGAAGGAAACCTGGACGACAACCAGGCAGAGCTGAAGTGGCCTGAACTGGACAGAGCAGCGACTCGCGTGCCTGCCAAGAAGTCCATCTGATTTGCTAAAGTGTGGGAGGAAGAGAAGGGAAAAAGAAAAAAAAAACAAAAAGCTGTTGGAGAGGGAGAGAGGGATTCAAACAGCCGAGCGATGTGACAAGAGGTAGAAAGAACGGCCTCGCTGGGACAGCAGGAGAGAAAACAGTGGCGGGATGCCAAGGAGAGGGTAGCAGCCTGCTGCACGCACCAGCACAGCATCCTACCTGTGGCACTCGGGGCTCGTCTGTAGGAAGATGCAGCTGCTCCCGGAGGAGCAGGGACCGGCCTCAGTACCGGCTGCTGGTGCAGGAGGGAGAGAAGCTGAGGGCAGACAGCAAACAGGCAGGGTTAGTTTTAGCAGTGCCCAGATGTGTGGTAGTAGGTTTGTTATCCTGCTCATCCACACCATAACCTGTCTGAGCAGTAGGTTGCTGCAGTCTGATTTACACCAGCAAGAGATTTCCAGCCACGTGCACATCCGACTGATGGGGAAGTAAGGAGGGAAAGTCCTCCAAAGCTGCGAGATGCTTTTTGTCCTCAAAGCTATCCCACCAAACCAGGCTTCCTATGAAACGCTGATCACAGAAGAGCATTTGGGAGGTGGCACCCTGCACAGAAAGCGCTGACAAGGAGATGGGGACATCACCTTTGGATGACACGGGGCCTCCCCAGAAGAGCACTGCTCAACACGAGACCGTGCTTAGGAGATAATGGGTGGAGAAGTTACTGGGTGATAGCTGCTTTGCAGAGGACAGACCCACTGCTCTACCCCAAAATACTCCAGCAAAACAGAAATCCGACTGCCACCCAGAACCGGCGCTCCAGGAATTCACAGCTCGGCTTTTGGTTCAGCTGTCTGATGCTTTCAGAAAAGTGCTCAGTAAATAAGGCAATATGAAAGTGATCCAGACCACTGCTGATGCCTGAGGAGGTTCTGTGGAGCGGAGAAGCTGCCTGAAATCACACTGTGAAAACGCTCGATAACATCTCTAAAATTAGCATGAGCTCAAGGCATGGGACCCGAGGACAGAACCGGCACGCTACGTTCCCATCTAAACGGCGACACGGACAGCACTTCCACCAGACAGGAGCCCCATCTACCCTAGGACAAGGATTTCCTAAATAGCTGAGAGCTTCTGCCACCAGGCCCACTGATGGGAACCGTCTCAACCAGAAGATACCATGGTCGAGGTGTTAATAACCTGGAGCTGTTACTCAAAAATTAAAGAGTCCTCGTGGTACTTCTCATCAAAGGACCGTTAGATATCTGTGATTGCATGTGTGTGCGTGTGACTACAAATGCGGGTCTGTAACACAGGAAAAACGTGATGCATTCCGATGGAGCAACACATTTGGGCCTCTTGGCTGTCTCAGGCTTTCTACTTTGCCCAAAACAGACCAAAGCACAGGATGATTTCCACCAATATCACGAAGCACGCCGCCAAAGTACACGGGGGCCCTTAAAAAACACACCGGGCAACACGGGGGGTAAGAGCGTTACTACGTCAGGTTCTCTTACCTTCATCTTGAGGAAAGGAACCAAGCAATTCATCATCAACCACAAGGAAACACTCACCACATTCCAGAAGCCTTTGAGACAGGCTTTTCAGATGCGAGCACTATCCAAGAGATGTTTCCCCACTGCGAAGGAACAGCTTTTTGTTTTGTTTTGTTTTTATTTCGCAATTGCACCTACTGAAAGTGATTGTACAGCATCCAGCGAGGTGGCCGGGAGCTGAAGGTGGGGAAATCCAGGCCAAGGAGAAGCTATTCCACGCGTTCCCTCCAAGTGTCCCTTGCCATGCTGATCACCAGTCACCACCACAGGTTGGGGGGCTCTTCGGCCACTCGGCTTTTGAACAAGGTGATTTCATCCAAGTGCCTCATGGGGACGTCTCTGATGACCTCCGTCAAGTCCTCGTGAAGCAGAGGGAAAATGACGACGTTTAGCGCGGGGCGGTCCGCCTGGAAACTGAATCAGACACAGGTTATTAGCTGGGGAGGAATACTAAAGCTCCAGGGCAACAGGAGGGGGTCGAGTGGATAAAAACCACGCGGCGGGGGCAAGGAAGGGTGCTCAGGGGGGCAGCTGGAAGTCAGGGTCTCCCTCTCTCCTCTCTGTGTGTCATTGGGGAGCGCAGGCTGGGCTTGTGCCCTTTTCAGAGATCTGTTGAGCTGACACAAGCTTGATGAGGGCAGGGAGAGAAAGATTTAAAAAATAAATCACAACATCGTGGTATTCTGAGATCCCAGCTGAGCAGGGTACCCAGCGACAACAATTTACACCAGCTACAAAGCAGCAGCAAGTTGCAGGGCTGTTAAAAAAAATAAAATCAGGCCAAAGCAGCGCTGGGCATTCCCTCAGGGCCGAGTGGGGGATCGTTGCTCCAGGCTCGGTTGTTCTGCATGCAGAGTCTGCACTCTGCAATTAGAGCACAGGCAGGTTTAGAAAGCTCAGATCTGCAGATAAGCATTTAAGAGCACACACACACACACACACACACACACAGCCTCCTTTTTAACACAAGTGGCAGAAACCTGTCTTAGCACTCCGTGAGTTTGCCCCCAACACATGTACGTACCCCCTCTTTGCCACTTCAATTCTGGGCTCCAGTTTCTAAATCCACAGCCCCAGGGGTTTTGTCCCCTCCTAGGAAAACCTGCGGGCTCCTCCTGTCCTCCCAGCTCTTCTTGCCAACACCTCTCTGCTTTCTGGTATGTGCACCTAGAATCCCAGACCTTGCAAGTGACAGGTCTGATATGACAGCACGAGAGAGGAGCAGCAGAGGAGGAGAACAGCAAGAATTAAAGCCATCTATACAATGTATAAGGAGCCATATAAAAAAGCCCAAGACCCCATTAAGCAAGGAGGCTGCATAACAGCAGCCCAGCACGAGAACGTGGGAGAGGAGAAATTGCATTGCTTGGGGTAGCACAACAAAAGAGTTCAGCCTCCTAAAGCTGGGGGGGGGGGAAGGAAGTTCTGCTGTAGCTTAAGGGCTACACCCTGAAGATTAAAACACTTGTGACTATTAGCACCGTGCCACCAAGATGTTTCCACTGAACCGTGTGACAAGGGCCAGCTCGGTGTCACTCTGAGGGAGGCAGAGTCGAACTGGCAGCGTCAGTCCCTCGAGGCTGAAACGAGTTGTGTTGGGTCGAGAGAAGGGCCGGCTGCTAAACAAGCTCCTCTTACCCAGACGTGTGTCTGAAGCTCGTCTTTAGCACTGAGACGGGCAGGTTATCCTCCAGCAGAGGGGATGGCTGGAGGTTTGGCTGCTGGAAACACACCGGAGAAGCCCCAGTGCCAGCAGTGCAGACGACTGAAGAAAAGGCTACAGGAGGCTGGCATTACCTGGGGGACAGCGAGGATGTTTCCGTGCACAAAGGATTTGGAGCAGAGCTGCCAAAAAATGCTGCAGAGGAATTCCCGTACCGAGTTCAGCTGCTGAGTCCTGGTGGGTTAAATTAATTTGCCTGAACCTAAGTAGCCGCAGGAGTGAGGATTTCCAGCAACAGCACTACCTGGGGCAGTTTTCTATCTTTCTGCATCACAGACTGCCCTTCATGCCTCACGCCTGAGGGCTGGCAGAAAAGGACACGGCTCCTTGGGAGGATCTGGAGGCCTGGGTAGGAGCTGAGCAGTTTTCTTACTTCCCTGGCTCTACAAGAAACCAAGCAGCAAATAATCGCCGATCTGGGAGGCGGTTGGTAAAGTCTGCGGTGCAATTACAGAAAATACAGCAAATGTCTCTTTGATAGTCCCTCCTCTGCCTCAGCTCTTCATGTTCCTTATCCAACACCACAGTCCTGCAGAGAAAATCACGTTAATAGGCCGAGCTTACTGAAGTTCAGCTAGGAAGAAGCCGCGATCTTCATGAGACGCAGCCTTCCTGACCGTAACCTCCCCAAGGCAAGAAACCTCTGCCTCTTTCTTTGTATCTAGAGCCTCCCAAATTAGATCTGCATGCTGCCTTCTCACCCTATACAAGATCATGGCTTATAAGCAGCCCTGACATGTAGCTATAAGAACAAGGACCTGGAGAAGTTTACACGACAATCTGCCACCAAGAGAACGGAAAAACCCCAACGCAGTAAGTGTACCTTCCAAAGAGGCCGGGGTTATAGAAGAGGTTTGAATTTGATCTTTTTTTTTTTTTAAAAGGGGAAAAAAAAAGAAAGCTTTGTAATTTTCTCTCCCCCTCAACAGGAAGCTGTACGTTACTGCAAACCTTGTAAATTCCATCCCCCAGCAAGTTGACGCCGGAGAATTCTTTCCATGTACAATTTGCGTGATTTAAGAAAAAAGAATCAAATGCACATGGCTCGCTATTATTCTCAGCTAAACGTGCGTGCAAAGCCTCTCCTTTAACTGCCTGTTAAAAAACACCCCGATTTTAACGAGCAGCTGTCATAATGTTAAACCAGGATTAGCAGTTCCCAAAAGCAGACTCCCTCCGCAACCTCTGCTCCTCGAGTCCGTCCCCGGAAGGCAATTCCTTTCTTCGTACACCTGTCCAGGTGGGCTAGATTAAGTGAGAAGCACTTAGAGCCCTAGTTCGAAAGGCCCCGGGCACGGGGAGGAGATAACAAGAAGGGGAAGAGATCGAGTTAATGAGTTGCAGAATAGCTCCTGTAATCTTCTTGACGGTTCTTCCTCATTCCACACCTGGATGGACTTCAAACTGGATCTACCCCTGCGAGCGTGCAGCTCGTAAAACGAAAAGCTGAAGGACAGAGAGGGATATCGACCCGGGGAGACAAAAGAACTGCAGTTCCAGGCATGAAACCCTGCTTTTTTCCGAGGGAAAGAAGCCAAGGATACGCTTACTTGCTCTCTCCTACGAAACCTCCAGACTAAACTCATCATGATTAATTAAATGAAAGCAAGTTTGCGAGGCAACTGACTAGCAGCCCCTTCAAAACATGTCCTTTAATCAGAAACAACCACTGGGATACAAAGAAAATACCCCCCCGCACACATATTTTCCAGCCATAGCCTCTGGTCCAGCAGACACAACACCAAACCACCATCCATCCACCAGCAGGAACTTTTACAAGGAGGTCTCTGAAGAATCCCAGTTGGGATCTGGACACTTTGTGGGCCTGGCTGCAGCAGCTGGCTGGAATCATCCACGGAGCTGAAAAACAGATATCAGATCGTAGCCTGCTTCATACGTTCCTCCCAGCATCAACGCTGCACTCAGACCTTGAACAGGTTGCCCGTAGCTGAAAGGGTTAATGGCACTCTGTTATTTGCCTCCAAAATTATCCCAGAACAGGTGTGGACTGGACACAGGAAGGTTATTTTCAAGCGAACAGCTTGGTAAATAGCCTACCACTACGGTCTCAATTACTTCCAAGCAGCGTGGCAGGATGCAATATGTAGGTCAGGGACAAAGTCAAAAAGAAAGGGAAAAAGTCTAGAGCAAGGTCCGCACTTTAATCAGATTTCCCCCGATTTTAGCAAGACAAAAGAGTCCCTCCCCGGAATGCCTTTATCTCCTGGCAAACACTGCCGGTGTGTGCTTTCAGACACAGCTCTTTGGAGAGGAAACCAACGAGTCCCCAAACTCCACCTGCTGATATGGCCAAAGGGCAGCCCAAAGCTGGAGGAAAACCTCAGCAGAGAGCCTGCAGCCGTGGGTTGTGCCCTGCTCTGTCTGCCTGCACCACAAATGCCCAGAAGACGACAGCTCCGCTACCTTAGGAGCTGCTCAAACTCACCTCCAACCCCTACGGATGGGAAAAGGCAGTGTTTGGAAGTAAAGGATGTAATTCCCCTTGCAATTTTCCAGAGAAACCTAAGAAAAGCCCTGTGCTAAATTCAGGTGCTTCGGCACATCCCACTTCACGACTGCTGGCAAGGTGGCGAGGGCAGGCGAGGCGCTGTAATTAAGCACTGGCAACAAAAGAAACTCACCCCAGGTAAAACGAGGAAACACGACGCAGCGGGAGCGGATGGAGGCCAGATTTTGAAACTCCACAAACTGAGATAAGCTCATGGGAAAAGAGGCTCTAGAAAGGAAAAGGAAGGAAGGAAAGAAAGCAGGAAAGCGGGAGAAGCTTGATTTGGGGGAACAGAGGGGAACGAGCAGATTTGGACTCCGGTTTGCACAGCCCTCGCTGCAGCAGCTGAATCTCTGCTGCAGCCACGTATCCCCTCCCTCCTCCTCTTCCACTTCGCACACAGGCTGGAGCGTTGCTTCCAGCAGGAGCGAGCTTCCCAGGAGGCCAGGAGGCAGCCCGAGACACATTTTGCCCTGCGCACAGCTCTTCCACCCGCACGCACAAAGCCCCTGCTAACCCTCCGCCAGGCACGGCGTAAGTTTGTTGTTGCTGGAAGAGCGGCTCGCATCGGGGAACTCACATGTGGCATCTGTCTTGGAAGCTTCAGCCCACGTACCTGAGCCAGGCTGGGAACTCCTGTCCCCGAAGCACGGCGTGGTGGAAGGGAGCAGCTGCCGAGGGACATGACCCAAGGGGACACAACCCAAGGCCCAGGCAGGCACTTTGCTCTTCTTTTCAGGAAGGCCAGGAGGACACTGCGGGTTTGTTCCACTGGTTGTGCCCAGATCTCGGGTCCAGGGAACTGCAGGAGCTCTCTCCTTACTGACAGCGACTGCCAAGGGCATAAAACAGAGCTTTTTCTTTTTTCTTCCAGGCACACCAAAGGGGCTGCGGGTGGGATTCCCCCAGGCACCCTCCTGTGTCAGCTGGGAGCATCCTTGCCACCCAGCCAGCCCCCAGAGCGCTTTCAAGAGGGGTGCAATGCCCACAGAGACCCATTTCCAACTCTGCAAGAGCACTGGTGTCGCGCAGACTTCATCTTCTCATCTCAGAAACGCACCTCCGAAGTTCCCTAGGAAAGCAGCTGCGATTCCTCAAGTCGCTTCCAGCTCCACACAAGGCGATATTTCCCCCACAGAGCGTTTCCACTCGCCATGAGCCCCGTCAGTCCAAACTCCAACC